TCTGGAACAACTTCTAAGCCAACACTAAAATGCTTAAAATTTAAATTAAAAATTAAAAAAAGGGTAAGTTTACGTTACGTCCGTCGTGTTTTTATTCTGAACCTCGAACATTTTTAGTGCACTGCAGACGGCACCAATTATCATTTACATGATAATGAATTCTCCCTTGAACTATTTCAGGGAAATTTTGAAGTTGGAGCGACCGTCAGCATTTGGAATATATTCAAAAGTACCTCTTAAGTACGTACTTAGTTTTAATGTAGTTTTAATCATTAGTAAAGTTACGTAACAAGCACCGTTCGTTGGAAACAATGCCTAACGAAGCTCGACAGTATAGTATTTATAATACAGTAGAAATCCCATACAGGCAGCCACAGAGCTTTGCTACAACCACGTGATTTACTGATAGGCCAAGCAAATTACATTAAAAACCGTTATTAGGAATTATTATTATTTTTCTATAGGAATTTAATTCTATACAACTTTTATTCCATGGGTTTTTTAGTCTGTTTCAGATACTCGTATTTATGAAAGTCGCAAAATATGTTTGCAATATATAAGAAAAAAAAAACAGTTTCTATTTTTTTATTTGAGCTGTACCGCAGAACCGGATTTGAAGTTTCGGACACTCATTCGACGTAGAATTAAATCCTCTTTAATATTGAATAGAATAACATGTTCCGTCGGACGTACTGTTTTCTGACACAAACAAAAAACTGAAAGAAGAGCAAAACTTTCGCGGTTATTTAGCTGCATAAAGTTTGCTCACCTGTTGGAATTGGGCAAACTCGATACATGAATTTATGATTAAATGAAGGTATTTAAACTAGTTTTAGCTTGCTGAAAATTACCTCCTAGTACCTATATTGTGTACGTTCTGTCTATCAGGTTTTAAATTTACTTGTGTGTCTTGTATGGTGTATTAAAATAAAGAACATTATTATTATTAACTCTTCCAAAAATTCTATTTTCTGAAAAAAAAAACAATATCGTTTATTCAGTCTGGGCACAAGCACTTGTGAATGTCGAAAAGCTACGCCATCAGTTCGCAAATCTACGGCGGGAGACCTTGTACCGAGTAGACCAAGTAACCAACCAACCAACCGGCTGTAACCAAGGCTGTAGGAAAAACTACTTACATTTTCGTGTCGACTGGCGGCCTTTCATGTCGTTGTCGAGGAAATCACAGAACTGCTAATGACTTGAATATTTTAGATAGGGCTGAGGGGGGATTTAAACCATGGTTGCTACTTAAATGAGTCTGCCAACAAGGCAAGCAAGAGGTAAATCAAACAAACATTTCAAATCAGTAAAAAACACTGACGTCGAAATTTATGAGCACCCTATATACAATGGTAAGGCTATAATATTTCAGATACCAAGTAAAAATAAAACAATATCGAATGACAGGTATAGAAACCAAATATAATATATGTAAGTAATATCTTTGTCACATATACCTGGAATTTACGCGCAGTACACATGTTCTTATGTGAATTTCGATTTACTTTTACTCAACAACATTATTTATGAGTTTGTGTTTATTCTTTTCACATCTTATTTTCATTGTTTGAGTAAAACATACTGTTTAAAAGAGGTTCTTCTTAGAAATCCTTGGGTACTGATTAACTGTTATAATATTTACTTATTCATTGTGCCATGTCATAAAGGTAACTAAGTCTTTTTTTGTTTGTTGATTACAATGTAAAAAAAAACGTTTCAAACTTATAAAATGTACAAATTATAAGAGTTAATAATAAAATGAAAATTTAGAACGACGGCGGATAGATTACGAAAGGACTCAGAGGAACTGGCAAAAAACTGACAGTTTCACTGGAAATGGCTATTTTCTCTGCGCGTTAGTAATATTTCATTCATTCGGAGGCGTTCAATTGAAAAATGACCTGAATACAAATGCGTAGAGAGGTCACCCTCCTCACGATAAATAACTACAATAGAGAATCTTCAAGGAGAATTTCTAATGGCTTTATATTTGACACTGTAGTAAGTCTAATATACTCTTCTTTCGAATTCAAAATGTTCTTGAGGGTCTCAAGAGGGCAACTAACGACTACTTACTATGTAAACGATACCCTCTCAACATCGCAATGTGATATATCGTGAGAATCTCTCAATGTGTTCCAACACTACTTAGCGGCTAGCAGGTCTCCAAACATTGACCACTCTATGGATAGGTTTCCCCCTTTCCAAAGAGGATAACATAACATTAACTTGCGCAGAAAATGTACTTATTAAGTCGATAGTTGAGTAAGTTCTCATTTTTTCAACCCTGCCACATGAAACTCAGCTTTTGAGGTGAGGCTTCTATTCTGTAAATATTACCGGTGTAAGTACATTTAAATAGCAATGAGTTTGAGTTGGACAATCCTAATTTAATGATTCAACTTCAGACTTCATTGGTTTTGAAATAAGGATTACCCAAATTTCAATACATAAAAATAAAAGAAGTGATTTTTTGTAGTCATGTACTGGTACTTTTTTCAAAACAATGATATTAAAAATGGTTATAGTTCTAATGTAAGTTAGACAAGGGAATACGGGTACTCAATATATAATTTCCCCAACCTAGGAAAGACATCAGTAGCTACTATAGAAATCCTCATAATATCCCATAGGGGGACCGTCAGGGGAGATATTAATCCAAAGGGGATTAAAATATAAACATTTAATAATATTTGTTATTTATTTAAGTTTGTTTTACATTCAGAATATTAATACATATTTTGATGTATGTCCAAACAGACTATCTCTTTTTCGGCGAAAACCGAATTAAGGATTACTTACCTACTTACGTAAAGTTACACACTTTGACATCTTACCTGAATAATTTAGTGGAAAACTTATATAAGAAAATTAAAGGATAGCAAAGTACTAAGGAAAGTACTAATTGTGATTATGTAAGTACTTTAAGCTTCTATAAATTCATTGAAAAACTAAAGCAGAACAATAATTATGTTTGGATCAGTGCGCTATGCCAACTTAAATCCCGAACAATAGTAGCAATTACTTTTTACATAAATTGCTAATTTAGCTAAGTGATTAAAGGAGATTGCTCAGCTTCCATACATGTTTGGCCTAAAGACCAATAATCATGAAAAATTGTTTCCTAGATTCGAAATTATATATAAATTACTGTAGAAACGAATATAATTGACGGACACCCCTGAGAACTTCTATAAACCATATACACTGAACATATTAAAATAATAAAAAACAAATAAGTTATATAGTAAACTAGGGAAATCAAGCCAAGTACCGAAATTATGGATTAGATTCAGGTATATAGAGCATGTAGATTAACAGATAGTTGCCTGTTTTTAAAGTTAATGCTTATGAGTAACTTTTAAAATTAGGTGTCATTTCCGGTTATAATAATATACTCTGTGACAGAAACTGTATGATGATTGTGAATGAGCCACAGATTAGAGAGATTTTTTAAACTTTAGTTAACCAAAGAAAGCTAAGAGATTTAGGTTCTATAGCCGAATATTCAGTAGCTTCATTATTTTTGTTATGTTTTTAAGATAACCATATTTTCGATTTTTAGTGTATCACACCTTATAATTTTTTTTAATTATTAATTTATAGTCAGGGAACGTAGGCCCATAGATAGATACCTTAAAGTCTATCATATATACAGATTATAATGTGTTTATGGAGGTGTTTGGCGAAAAATGTATCGCAATAGACTTTATGATGTCGCCTACCATCTATAATAATTGTCTGAGCACATTTGCATCTAGTGAAAATGATAATATAGTGGTGGATATTAATACCACAGTGTAGTAAAAAAAAGATTTATTTTATCGATCTTTACAAAATAGATTTGTTTTTTGTTATATAAACAACTTCGATCAGTCTTTGGCTGAATGTTACTACACCCATAGCCATTAAAAATGATTCGTATGTTTTCCAAACCGGTAATATTAAAAGTCCCTTTTAAAGTAAATATATTATACAAAGGTGTCCGTTGAAATCTAATGACTGTAAATTAAATTATAAATTACGCCAAGAATTACCGTGTAAGTCAATATTTTTTGTGCCTTTAGGCCAATTTGAGCAATCTCCTTTAGTCTCATTCTCTTACTTATAAAATTCTCGTGTCACAATGTTAGTTACCATTCTCTTCCGAAACGGCTTGACCGATTGTTATGATATTTTATATGCATATTCAGTTGGTCTGAGAATCGGCTACTATCTATTTTTCATACCCCTAAGTGATAAGGATTGTCCACCCCTAACATTTTTATTTTATTTTTTGGACAACATTATTTTTTTAATGTGGCATTAAAAATACATACGAGCCTAAATTTTCACCAGTCTACCACCAGCCCCTATTTTTATGGCGGTACAAAGTTCGCTGGGTCAGCTAGTATTTGTATAAAATTTGACCGAGAACAATAGCGCTGAACATAACATGGGTACTTGCAGTTCATTTGGTCCGTTTCTGCTTCGGTAGATCTAATTTACAAATTTCATTGAATATTGTAAGACTCCGTTCATTCGAATGCTTTTATTCTTTTACCAATTACGAAATATCTATAACATAATCCCATTATCAATCAGCTATAGAGAGTCAATAAATTTCTAAACATTCTATAGAAGGATAATTACATCGGACAACAACGACGAGACAGGGGATAGGTAGGGATATGTCTTTGTTTAGGTTTCTCGGGAGACATTGATTGCCGAAGCTCTAGAGCATATTTTATTTGTGACAATTGGTCCCTTTTGTACTGCCATTCAAGAAACATTCACTGGCTCAATCGTGACCACAAGGGTCAGTAAACTTAAACAGTCGGATCTCGTTTAATAATAACAGCCGAAATCAGTATTAAAGTACGAATGTTACCGCAATTTAAGCTTCATTGTTCCTGTGAAATAAGGAACGAAATAAAATCTAAAATACCTTACTGTTAGTATTTTGAAGAATTACTTACTCTATTTTAAGAAATAAAAGATAGGTACTATAATTATATACGATTTCACTTTATATATTATGTTTCTTTGCAGGATAAATTAGTGCGACATTCAAATAAGACACAACCAATGAAGAGTATACAGACAGACACTTCTTATCGTTGGATCTTTTGGATTTAATGATTATATTTCTTGGGATACTTTCGCTTTGTATAATCGGGTTTTAAAGTTTCAAACTTGGTTGAGAATTTTCTGAACCATTCTTGTGCTGGGTTTAGATGTCTTGCTTCTACTATTGGTGTAGGAAGTCGGGTCCTGTTCAGTAGTCCTTGCAGAGCTTGAAGTAGAAAAGATAGCAATGACATGGACACTACTATATTGATTGGATCGAAACCGATTGAATGGTGATGATATGTCTGCGCTGGTGTCCCGTAATTTCCGTTAGCACTGACACCATAACTCGAGGTCCCAAAGTGACTATTGAAGTTTCGAGATTCCGCTACTTTGTTGCTTAATGAAGTATCGAGTTGTTTCTTCAAAATAGGAGATTCCAACTGATGTTCATCGTTTTCATTTCTAAAAACTTTACGAGGGCGAAAATTTAAACCCATATATTTACTTTCTTTTGTTTTGGAATCCCGTTTTATATTGTTTATTTTCTTCAACACTGATTGTGCATTTGTTTGAATCTTCTTGAGCAATATTTGTATTTTTGAACTCTGGTCTTCTATCATATTAGTCACGAAGTCCTTGAAATTCTGATAGCTTTGAAGCACCGTTGATTTTTCTTTCACCACATTTGGCCTTGCTGTCGATAGCAAGATTAGAATGATGAACAAAGTCAACGATAGCAGCGACATTATGATAGTCACCGGTAAACAATATGGTATCTTCAAAGTCATGAACTTGTTTTGATTGACGAAAATGAAATGCACTCCAGTTTGTCCGTAGCAGCTTTATAAAGTGAACGTTTCTAGGTCTGTTGCATATGATGATAACTTGTCACAGCCACACAATGGTGATATAGATAAACAATACATTCGAGTTGATCTATGGAACTTATGGTTTTAATTCACGTAACCTTACACCATGACATTTGACCTAGCTGATCATAGGCCTATTCACGATAAAGTAATTGGGGCAGTTTTCAATTCTTTATTTTAGACCGTAAAAACTTGGTCTTAGAGTCTAAGTTTGCCTTAGGGTTATTTTTAGTTTATTAGAATCACGGAAAGCTTATTTTCTAAAGAAAGTTATTAGTAGCTCGGAGTTGTGGCAATGGTAAAAGGTACAGTACCCAATACGTATAATACCATCATTTGTGACGTTCCACAGATAACGATACCTTATGGTCGGTATTGATTTACGCATATCTCTGTAGTCTGCGACTAATAAGCTATTCAAATCAAAAAGAATTATTCTCTTAAGATGTGAAGTAACGGTTTTTTTTTGAAAGAAAAATTCGAAATTGTGCGCTTTCATGGAAATGTAATGTTAAGTAAAAGGACACGTTAAACTATGTTATTGTTGAAAGTGACATAGTAAGCACTACTCTTAAGGCTTCTGTGTTTCAAAAATAAAACTAAAAATGTATGTACTTCATCAGAAACATTTGAATTAGGTCATTGATTATGCCTACTGAACGTTTCTGGAAATGGTCATTTGCAATGAAGCCCCCATGTTTTTTTATTGAAGTTATACTTCTTTAGGCGCGTTATGAAAAAATGATGAGATTGAAATTTTAAGATGCGCGCGCATCACTGTAACACAATATTTTAACAGCATGAAGTTGGTCTTCTTGAACTTCATGCTGTTACTTTTGTGTTTACCGCACATTAAGAAAATCTACCAACAAAATAGAAATAGAATCTCTATTTAGTGGGTGCTAACGACTGCATTGTGAAGGCCTATCAAAAGTATTTATTAATCTGGAACAACGGAACCAAAGCGCGATTCAGGAGACTACAGCGCCATCTCTTGACCATTGGTGTAGTAGAACCAAAAACCACATCTTTATTTTTTGTAATAAAGTAACAGTTATAGGTATTCATATTTATAATATATATCCACATGTTTCTAGTTTGTATATTCGGAATACGTGTTTGAGTTTCATACAAGTGCAAATCACATATGTTCTAATAAATTATATTCAGTAGCGATTTTAATTGAATATTTTGATTATTTATTTATTTTTTCAAATTAAAACTGAACTTTATTGACTGTGTCCTTTTCCAGACTTTTTATTAATTTATTGTAATTAATTATTTGCATGCAATTAAAAACTAATTTTAAACGATGCCAAAGATATAAGAAGAAGGATAACTTCTCACGCGCCTACATAAGTACACGCACCCATTTTTTCCGTTTAGAAGAATATAAAAGTAAAAATTGAGTGTGAAAATAAAACAAATGTAAGAAGTAAAAATCACATGTTAATATATTTTTTAAATCACATTAGTTTTAATAATTACCTGGAATCATAGTAGATAAAGTATTTTACGCATAATTTAACGAAGTTCTTCTATTTAAATATAGTATAGATAATAGAATCATAATAATACTTTTATTGTTTACTCTCTTAAACTTACATAACTACCACAGTAATTGTATCATATATTTGAGAAAAGGTACCTAATAATATGATATAAAAAACAATAATAAAATAATCAGTTTTTTGCAAGGAAGAACGTATATTCGGTTATTTACTCTATATCAGGGTGATTCTCAGTTAAGAGGTAATCGGTTGTATGGAAGCAGTGGCACAGCAAAAAGTGTCGATATTTATATAACTATACCACTACTTTTATCAAGACAGATGATTTTAATATGATTTTAAGATGATCAGTCATTTTTTTAATTTATTCTCGTTTTACGAGACACCAGGGGAGATGCTGAGTACAGGGTAGAGACAAGGTGAACTTTATTGCAATAAGCTTAGAGCGCATATTAGGATGTAATCCATGCAATCAGATTTTAGTGGAATAACGATATAAAGCTAAACAATTATCTAAAATTATATGCAATTGTACATTCTCTAATAAATTATCATTACTGTTATTGAGCTATTGCATCGTTTTTATAGTTTTGTTAGTAGCCTGGCACCATAACAGCCAGGGGAAATATGGCAGGGGAGAGACATTTTCGTTAAAAATCTAAACTTGCTGTAAAAGTACTAATTTTACAAAGATTACAAATAAATAAAAGGTTTGCAGTACTATTTAAAATAAATGTATATAGATATTGTAGTATTTAAACACATAAATACGAAAAAAAATACCAGGGTAAATACTTCGATCACTCAACACGGCTGCACTCATCGAGCACCGTTGCGCAAATGGCCATAAAAATTGCCGCGCGGATGGCTTGTGCAGCGCTTGCTGCTAACTTCACGTGACACTCGGTGTCTTTAAGGTCAAAACTACCACAGACTATGGTAAACAACTACGATTTTCAAACTAAACCTAAGGCCAGGGGGTGAGAGACGAAATTCGGAGGACACAGTTTGCGATTAATATTTTTTATAAAAAGTGCAAATATAAATGAATTTAATGGTTACATACTGTAACTAAGTTATCAGGGTTCATGTTGAGAAAAGTAATAATTAAATTTCAATGGACTCAAAATTACTGATTTACAAAAAAAACGGCTAGGGGACAACCCAGGGGAGAGATGTTTTTCCTCTTTGTGCTGTTATTGTAAGTAAATTATGCACATTTAGAATATAATTTTAAGTGACAATTTAGAACACATTTAGTTAATGGAAATTATTAAGATTTTAGACCATCATTTCCAAATATAATGATTTTTTTGGCTTAGCCGTCGAACATACCTCTTAACTGAGAATCACCCATCACCTTAATCTGTTTCTACCGAGCAGTCTTTGTGTAAAATGAAGAAAGTCCCAGAAATCAAAAAACAAAAAAAATATAATAAAAATAATCATAATTAATTGTTAATGATATTATGAAAAGAAAAGGGTCTAGCTATTCTGTAAAATTTCCACGAATCTGTATGGGAAATGGGTGGATCCGCATCGGACCCGCGCGTGAAAACTTTACTGAATGGCACTGCTGATGGAGTATGTACGTAAGTGAAAGTTTGATTATTTCAAACGCTTTTTCTTACAAAAATATAACCCGCCAGAGACTTTGTTTCTGTGACCAACTTCACCACAGTTAGTACACGTAGGTTTTTTGATGCTTTCAGAACAGTTCTATAAGGCAAAGCATATCTTGGGAGTCAGATGTAACAAATTGTCTGAATTTTTCAAACAGATATTTTTGTCTATTAACTTCGGACATTTTGTGATCGAACTTTTTTTTTAAATAACATGCTGACAAATATTACCAGTGACGGATTGTTTACGTGCTACTTGGCCCATTGAAGCCGAGTCGGTTTTAAAATGACTATATGTGAGCAAGTTAGGTACTCGTACAGTGCTGGGTTTATTTATTTTCAAAAAGTTTATGTTTTGACATTTATTACATCACGAAAATGGCGGACGATGTTCAAAACCAAAGCAATACCACAGTCTATAACCATGATTTGTGGCCTTAGATTAAAATAAAAGGGGTTTGTGGCTCAAGGTGTACTATTTAAAAAATCTCTTAAGACGCGGGCATAAGATACCTTTTCTACTAAAATTTGAGATTACCTATATTTTGAGCAACTTACTTACTTACAAAAAATAAAAACAAAAAATATGAGATTATAGGATTGCAGCATTTTCTCTAAACATTAAGTATCTCTGAAACTAATAACCTCCATTAGGTACCTTTTCATCTCCATAAGCTGACCCGGCGAACTATTTTTCCGCCTTAGAAGCAATAGATGAGCAGATTAAATATAAATAAAAAAACAAGTACTTTAAAGATTTCTTTTTGGTCAGGTATTTTGGTGTATAGGTTGCACTCTTTAGTGAAGCACCTTGTGATAGAGGACATTTTTTATTTTATTATCAGGCGCAAGGCGGCCAGTTGTGACCACGCTACATGCCCCGATTTTAAAGCTTCTTATGACCTACCATAACATCTGTAAAAAAACTAGTGTGGTTTAATATTGCATCACGATTTTTTTTTTATTTATTTTATTTATTTATTCAGTAACACATGCCGGCTTACAGAAATATCCAAAAGGCCGGCAAGTCATACATAAAAACCTTAACATACATTCCAATTCAAATTAAGAAAAAAAGAAAAGAAAAATAAAAAATAATAAAATTACGTATCTTAACCGCGATCTCTGTTTCTTGGGCTAGTAGTCTTATTTTCTAACGTGGAATAAACTTATGGCAGCAGTTAACTAACTTACTTTAAATGAAAAAATTATTACGATATACAAAATCAGTTAGGTACTTTACTTTTTACATAGCATCATGCTTTTAATAAAAACATAAGGAAAATAATATGTAATTTTTCCTTCCGTCGATATTAAAAAAACGCCCTCTGTCCTGAACCGCTTCAATTGTACGTAAGCTCACCGAAAGCAGGCTAAAATGCTTTAGCGCATTGAACGTGCTATACAGACTTGAATTGTTAGTTCATTCATGTGCTTAGAGATGGCGCTTCAAGGACTCACGCGCATGCTTTATCAGCGTCAACTTAATTTAAACTATACTTCACCGAAGCTTTTATAGATGGCGTAATTAAAATTGTGTGCGTGATTAAGATCGCAATGAATTTGGTTGATTTCTATACGAAATAACTTAATAATTTATATTTAGAGTAAAAACATCTTTTTACGATACTAAGAGCGTTTTGGAGGATTTTTTTATGGGATATTTTCAGTGTCACATCCATTCCTAGACAG